TTTTTGTTGGTACAAGTTGAATTTAAACAACCTTTATTCATAGTTTTTGAAGTTCACATTATATTTGAAATATTTATACTTTTGGTTCGAATCCTGATATAAAGATTACTATGATTATGCTAAATCAAAAGGGCTAGATGTAGGTGTATCAGTATTTGACATTTTTACAAAATTAATAAAGGTTGCATTTTTACCAAAAATTCTATGAATCAATATTTGACATTTGCACTTTAAATTGTTATAAAAATTACTATGTTACAATTTTACTTTAAATTAACATTACATTTTAATTATTAGGAAACGCTACCAATAGTATCCTACCAACTCCCTAGTGAAAAACTTTTTGAAAAAAAAAAAAAAAAAACTTACTGGAAAAAATGTTGTAATTTATCTTTTTTATTCTGAATTTAGTGTGATTCTTTATTTTACAAAAATAAGTTTTCTATACTTATTTGTGACTGTGAATGGCACACTAGGACACAGTCTGGTGGAATGGACCAAGTTATACTTTCTTGTTATGGGACAATAGTTCGTTTGCTTGCATGTCCAATCTGGAATTTATTCTCCGTTATGATTGTATTGGCAGATTGGAAGTTAATAAACTTGTAATTTTTATTCAATGTAGGATGACTAAAGTGTTGCCATCATTACTACAAACGGGGCCTTTTGCGACCAAATTATTTGCGACCAAATTGAAAAAGTCACGAATACTATGTTATTTGCGACCAAAATGAGTTGGTCGTCAAAGTTAACATATTAGCGACTAAAGTAAATTTTGGTCACAATTAATAAGCACATTAACGACCAAAAAAAATTTTGGTCGCAAAAAGATTAATTTTTAACGACCAAACTTTATGGTTGCAAAAGGATCAAAGTTTGGTCGCTATTGGTAAAAGTATTAACGACTAAAAGAAATTATGGTCGGGAAAGGATTGGTCTTTTACGACCAAATTGTATATTTGCAAAAGGATCAAAGTTTGGAACAATTGGTCAAAGTATTAACGACCAAAATAAATTATGGTCGCGAATGGATTGCTCTTTTACGACCAAATTGTATAGTTGCAAAACGATTAAAGTTTGGTCGCAATTGGTCAAAGTATTAACGACCAAAATAAATTATGGTCGCAAATTGATTAGTCTTTTACGACCAAATTGTATAGCTGCAAAATGATCAAAGTTTAGTCGCAATTGGTTAAAGTATTAACGACCAAAATAAATTATGGTCGCGAATGGATTGGTCTTTTACGACCAAATTGTATAGTTGCAAAATGATCAAAGTTTGGTCGCAATTAGTCAAAGTATTAACTACCAAAATAAATTATGGTCGCGAATGGATTGGTCTTTTACGACCAAATTGTATAGTTGCAAAATGATTAAAGTTTGGTCGCAATTGGTCAAAGTATTAACGACCAAAATAAATTATGGTCGCGAAAGGATTAGTCTTTTATGACCAAATTTTATGGTTGTAAAACGATCAAATTTTGGTCGCAATTAGACAAGGTATTAACGACCAAAATAACTTATGGTCGCAAAAGGACAGATTTTGTTAAGAATACAAGATGACTTTTAAATTTTTTGTAAAGTAATATGTCAACAAATTAATGACTCGACAAAAATATCATTAATTGTAAGATAGACAAATTAGTGATTTATTGTTTCGAGCTTAATTGATTTGTAAAAATGTCAATATAAGAAAAATATGAATATATAATTACTAAGTGTTTTATTAATTCTCAATCTAAAATGACCTGTACCTTTAATATTTTAATAAATAACTATTGTTAGTTAATAAAAATATAAAAAAATACCAACAGGCCTGTGGCCTAGCGGTATCAAACCCTTACTTCTCAAATGGAGGTCAGGGGTTCAAATCTCAATGGAGACATGTGTGTGTAAGTACCAACTAAGAATATATATATATATATTATGGAGTATATTTTTAAGAGAATTAATTAAGGTTTAAATATTCAAAATTTTAAGAGTGATATCAACATCGCAAACACTATTATTTTATTTTCTTTAAATATATTATTGTATAATTAGATTTTATTTTATTAAAAAGTCATTTAAAAATTGTGATAGAGTTTTATAGAAAATAAAATAGCTAATTTGTGGTAGATTTTATAGAAATTATTTTATTTTTATATCAATTGAAAAATATTTTTTATATTAATAATTCTTCTCTAATTAGATTTTTTTTTTATATTAAAAAACTCATAATAAATAGATAAATAGGTAATTTGTGTTGTTTTATAAAAATTCTTTAAAAAACTCTTTTTATATCAATTAATAATTATTTTTAATCATTCTCGTCTAATTAGATTTCCTTTATTAAAAAACTCATAATAAATAGATAAATATGTAATTTATATTAATTAATAAATATTTTTTATATTAATAAATGAATACTGAAACACTGAAACTCTTTATATTTTTAATAATTTTTATATTTTATTTATATGTATTGTTATATATATTATATATTTTCTTTAAATATATCTTTCTCTAATGTAATAGAGTTTTATGAAAAATAAAATAGGTAATTTGTGGTAGAGTTTTATAGAAATTATTTTATTTTCTTTAAATATATCTTTATCTAATTAGATTTTCTTTTATTAAATGACTCATAATAAATAGATAAATACAGAATATATGTGATAGAGTTTTAAAGAAAATAAAATAGGTAATTTGTGTTAGAATTTTATAAAAATGATTTTATTTTCTTTAAATATAATCATAATAAATAGATAAATACATGTTATATGTGATTGAGTTTTATAGAAAATAAAGAGTTGATTTGGAGAAGAATTTTATAGAAATTATTTTATTTTCTTTAAATATATTATTGTCTAACTAGATTTTATTTTATTAAAAAAGTCATAATAAATAGATATTGTGATAGAGTTTTATAGAAAATAAAGTAGGTATTTTGTGGTAGATTTTATAAAAATTAATTTATTATATTATTAAAGTATAAAGAGTTTCAGTGTTTCAGTATTTCAATGTTTCAGTATTTCATTATTTATTAATTAATATAAAAAATGTTTATTGATTAATATAAATTACCTATTTATCTATTTATTATGAGTTTTTTTAATAAGAGACAAGAATTATTAATATAAAAAAATAGAAAAAAAAATTTTAATAGAAAAAATATTTATTAATTGATATAAAAAAAGTTTTTTAAAGAATTTTTATAAAACTCTAACATAAATTACCTCTGTATCTATTTTTTTTTTTTTTCCTCTTTTTGTTCCAATTTGTGTATTAAACCCGACATGTATATGTTTTTTTTTTCCTCTTTTTGGTCCCATCTGTGTATCTGTCATCCACATCTTTCTTTTCCCTTAGCTCCGACCACCAATCATTCATCCACATCTTTCTTTACCCTTAACTCCGACCACCAATCATTCCAAATCCTAATATTGAATGTATCTTCTCTTAATTCTATTTTTAGAGAGCAATTCATGAAAAATTGTCTTTCCTACTTTTTTTATGTTATTTTTAATTTTCTTAAGATAGAAAACTATCCTTAAAAAAAATTGAACTAACCATTTATATTTCTCCATTTTCAAAATCTACCTCAAATTTACTCGGGCAAATATAATGTTTTAACATGCCTGTTTCAAGAAAATAAATCAATCTTTGCTAAGACGAAATCGAAATCCAATCTAAAGCGGAGAGGTGGAGGTCTTGGTAGGGAAGATTGGGTTTGGAATGATTGACGACTGGAGCTAAGGAACAGATTACCTTGAATCCACAAGGTGGGTGTTTTGAATCTACAAAACAAAGAATAATTTCAGAGAAATCTGATATTTGTATAATTGAAATGAATGATCTACTCTACGGTACATGGACCGAAGTCACCTGAAAAATCTGTTAGTATGCATGTTTGGCCCCTGGCGGTCCAAACAAGTTATAAAGGCTTTAGTAATCAGTTCTATATCACCAAGTTATTACAAGTTCTTCATGTATCGATACATCTGCATATCCAAGTTATTTTCAACTTATAATTTTTCTTCAAATGCTATTTATATTTATTTCACATAGTACACACGCATATATGCATTTATATATAATTAATCATGAAATTATTGTATACCAAGGGTTCAAGTCTCTAAGGAGAAAAAAAGAAATTTATTCTATGAATTGTACCTTTAATCATTATCAAGAATGAGATATTCTTAATTGAAATTGATTAAATTATAAATTGATCGAGTAAATTATTTTAGAAGAACTAGGTGGATTTACTTATTAATATAACATGAGACGATTTTAGAAGAACTAATTGAAATTACTCATTGATCTAATAAGAGATGATTTTAGAAGAACTAATTGGATTTAAAATAGTAGTAATTCTAAGAGACTCAACGTCTCGACCAAAAAAATAAAAAACTGTTCAAATTTGCATGCTATCTCATCAAGCTTGAGTTAAAATTACCACACAACAATTAATTAATATGAACTTCTTCATCGATCCTCGAGTACATAATAAATTTGATTAAATAGTTGTTATTGATCTAATAGAAGATGATTTTAGAAGAACTAAATGAATTTAAAATAATAGTTCTAAAATACTCAATACTTTGACAAAAAATAAATAAATAAATAAAAATTATTTCAAATTTGGGTGTTATCTCATCAACTTTGTCCGAGTTAAAACTACCATGACAATTAATTAATATTGAAGCAATTGTAGGTCTTAAAAAAAAAAAAAGAAGATAATTTTTAAATAATAATTACAAAAAATGAAAATCTATATATTTATTTTATTTAATAAGTAGATGAATAATTTATTTTGTTAAATTAAGGAACAATTCTATTTTAGGACTTAAATAAAAAAATATCAAAAATAATATTTATCATATGTAAGGATGTACTTTTTATTTTTATTTTTATGTTAAAAGAATTTAATTTTTTATATATATATTTGACTTTTCACGAAATTTAACCCGGGAAAAAAAGGCGGTGAACTTAATATTTTTCATTTCCTGAGTTTGACTGATACCAATTAGACACGACCCACTTCATTTCTCAGTATTCATCGATCAGTTCATCTAGGGCTCATTGGCGATATCCACGAGGTGAACATTCGTGCCTCCTCTTCATCGTTATACAAGGTTTTTCATCAGATTTTTATCTCTTCCTAACAGATTACAAGGGTTTCATTGGTGATCTCCAACGATCAAGGATTTATCTACTATTATCAGATTAAAAAGTAAGTTCTCTTGCCTTCACTCTTAAGTTCTCTTGCCTTCACTCCTCTCTTTTTCTTCAGATCTTCATTAATGCACAAGGGTTTTAGATTGTAGAGTTTGTATTTTGAAAACCCCCACTCTAGTTGTTTGCAATGAAAAACGTACTAAAACCTGTATAATACACATACTAGCCCCTATTCTAATTGTAGATTATAGATTTTGTTGTTTGATAATCCCCATTCTCGTAACCATTCTAGGGTTTTATGGATTTTGGGGATTTTACTCAACCTACTACATCGGCTCTCCCTCTCAGTACATATATAATTCTGATAATGAAGTTATAAAATTTAGGAGCTTTATATATTAATTCATGTCCTAAGATTCAATTTCCTTTGTACCCAAGCTATGTATGAGCTAGGTGGGCCTTTTTTACTTGAAAGAAAAAAATATATCATACTCAGGAAGTAGTGCTACCAAATTTTGAGACGGAACTACTGCCTACTACAGCTCTTTCTTCTTCTTGGCTTCCATTTTGTAAATGGCATTTTCAATGTCTCTATCTTGCTGGGGTACACGACAATTGCTTTTTGCTTCCAAGATATTAGGAAATTAATTTTTTATCTTTAAATAAATGATAGAAATATCCCAGATTCAGTTAATTTTATTCTACAAGTTACAGGTTAAATTAGTACTGGGCTATTCTCAATTCACATTCCTACAAAAGACTACAGAGATTCACCGATGAATCTCACAAATTTGTTGTTTTGTCCCAAATTATGTCATAGAAGAAAACCACAACCTTAGTTATCCCCACATTAAGTGATTCACAATAATAAATTCAAAGAACAATCAGACACCTAAGTGCAAATTGCAAATTGATTATATTTTGCAATACAGAAGATACCTATAAAAGTATCTCAATCAACTTGTATAGTCAGTCTGGTCTAATTCATGAAAACAGAATGCTTGTCAAAGCAAAGAAACTTGTAATCACTAAAAGCATACTGAACAAAAAATCAGCTGAAAGCCAGTTTTAGAGTTCTGTCCTAATTGCACTCCTCTGTGTAATAGGCACTCTCACTTGTAACGTTGGATCAAAATACTCCTATTTTTGTCAATATCCATTTTTTCACCTAATCGTGATAGTTTATATTAAGAATACTTATAAAATAACCTTACTTTTATGTCCAAATAATTATTACTGTATCACATTTATAGTGGTCGTTTCCTCCACTTTATCCTCATTTAGTCAATTAAATAGAACTAATAGTTCCATACATTTAAGGTAATTAACAAATCAGTCATATAAGGGAAAAAAGAGGCGCGGGGGGGGGGGGGGGGGGGGGGAGGATTTGTTACCAGCTGTAGTGAAATTGAAAGCAAACACATACAAACTAATAAAAGAAAACCTCACCAGCATCAATTACAGAATCCCAATTGGGCTTTCCATCTTTCTCAAACTGTTTCAAATCCCAAGTCCTCCACCCATCTAGAGACCTCAAATTTAGATACCCCCTTCACGGCCGAACCATTAGGCCCCAAAAGACCCTCACCGGACTCCGATTTCGGCTCGGAATCGGTCACAGGGGCTTCAGGAACCTTCTGTTCAACCTTGCATGCCTTGTTGATGCCAATTGCATGCCTTGTATATTGATGGATGGGTTCTAATTAATATATTAAACTACTGCCTTTTCTTTTCATTAGTGAATTTTAAGCAATTTGGCTTTCGAAAATGACAAATTGCATGCCTTGTATATTGAATTTTGTTGTTTTCACACTCATTTGATTTTTCCTTTTAAATCAGAATTTGGGATGTTATTTAAACACAATAAATTTATATGTTTGGTAGGTTCTGACGGTGGGCTATAAGCATTGCTTGAGACGAGGGCGCTGTTATCGTGACTTCCTTTGATTCAAATTGTTGCTCTGGTTTGTTGTTTTTTATTCAATTATATTTTTATTGTGTTTTGTTCTTTTTTTTTTTTTTAATTTTTTTTTTTTTATTGTCAACATATAGGCTAATGCTTAACTTTGCATATTACATGTTTCTCTATGGACATTCATTATTGTTTCTCTTTTACAAGTTGATAATTTTCAAGTTAGTGGTATTCAGTGATCTTAATATGAGTTGTTGAATTCAATGGGATGAATCTGTTATATATATTATAAACAAAAAATTATATCCATTCAAAATTTGCTTGTAAATGAATCATGCTTTGCTGTTGTGCAGTCACGATTATCTTTATGGAGATAAAACCCTGTTTGCTTCAGTCTAAGAAATAGACAAATCTATTTAATAAAATTAGTTCGTGAAAAGAGATAAAAATAGGCTCCAGGGAGCCTTTCTCACATATTTGTTTTTCCTTTCTTTAATGTGTTCTATATTTTTAGAATTCTTAAAAAGCTTAAAAAAATTAAACTACATATATAATTTCTCTAAAGAATAAATATATATAAATAGGCTAAAAAGAAATAAATATGTGTAACATATAAGAAATTGGATGTGCACTTTGTTATATATGACTCTGATTGGCGGGATTTAGTTGACTGGATGGCTTTATTGCCTTGCAAATAGCCATAAAAAGATTTATGCTAATGCCCTTTCAATATTACAGACAAGATGATTCAATTACTGCTAAACGATTTTTATACATCCCATTTGGAAAAAAAATAACGAAAGTCATCTTCTTAACTAGTAGTTTTTATCTAAGGCTATCAGATTTTATGATTGCATTCAGAGCACAATCATGAACCTTGTGATGATCTCCAAGACATTAGAACTATCAATTAAGAAATAAATTTTTATAAAAGTTCAGATGGATTTTATAAAAAATCAACTTCAAATAAGGGAAATAATGCATTCAACTGATCAGGTCTTCTGAGTTGAATTGGCTTAAGATATTTTGTTTTCATTTGCATTTTTTTCTTTTTCTCTTTTGAGTTTTGAGTGCATCATCGTACTGTCAATACATAGAAATATAATATTCTTTAGAGAGCCGACTTAAAAATTTCAGTTTTGGCGGCAGAAGAAATTATTAAGAATAAATTGATTCTTGTTTTCTCTTTTTATTATATTTTTTTTGGTTGAACAGTTCAGTAAACTCTGGACTTATAATTGAAATCAGACATCTTTATTTGACTGGATGTATGTAGTTCGATATGGATTAACCTCCATTTGGAGATGGAAATATGTTTTTTTTTGGGACTAAGAAATATGTTTTTTTTTTTTTTTTTTTTTTTTTTTTTTTTCCCGTTAAATATGATTAAGAAATTTCAAGCACTAAACTAGACAGTAAACAGTCACATGAACTAGATTTGTCAAAGAGTAGTATTAGTTAGGTTTTTATAGATCAAGCTTGAGTAGCTAGCTTGTCTCCAAAGCACTTCTAAGGTGTTGAAACTGTGCTGAAGTACGTGGCGGCAGCTAATAAAAGAGTTGATGATGCCGAAGAAAAGGCTAGGAATGTAAAGCACTGTTGTGATGGTATAGTCATTGTTAGTTATTTATTTATTTTTTTTCAGTTAAACTTCACTTAATTATTAAACTAAAAAAAGTGATCCGAAATGGGTTTAAATAATCTTCTATTACACAACAGATTGATTATAAATTATTTACTACTGGTGCAAATTGAATTTGAACCTTTATTCATAGTTTTTATAGTTCACACTATATTTAAAATGTTTATACGCTGATTCATATCCTATTATAAAGGTAGGTTACTGTGATTATGCTAAATCAAAAGGGTTGGATGTAGGTATATCAGTAGGGCTTGACATTTGTACTTGATGTTATGTTACATTTTTTTTAAAACTTTAAATTAATATTACATTTTAATTAGTAGGTACAGCTTCCAATAGTATCCTACCAACTCACTAATGAAAATTTTTCAAAAAAAAAAAAAAAAAAAAAAGGTTCACTTGTGAAAATGTTTTAATTTATTTTTCTTATTCTGAATCTAGTTTTATTCTTTATTTTATACAAACAAATTTGCTACACTTACGTGACACATCGGGAAACAGTCTGGTGGAATGGACTAGATCACACTTGTTATGGGACGATAGTTTTTTTGTTTGCGTGTCCAGCCTTGGATTTATTCTCCACTATGATTGTATTGATAGAATGGAAGCAATAAAGCTGTAATTATTATTCAATGTAGGATGATTAGAGTGTTGTCATCTTTTGATTCTTGATGATAAAATATCTTTTAACTTTCTGACACTTCCTATTTAGTTTTAAGATATTGTATTTTCTAATTGGAACACTTTTGAAAAAAGATGTATTGTCATGCTCATCATATGAACTATGGAAAAAGATGTATTATCATGCTTATTATATGAACTATTATTTATTTTCTTTTCAGTTAGATTAGTGTTTATAACCTATAAATTTCTTGTTTCTTTGGACAGGCAATCTCTATCATGCCCAAGAGAAGTTATATCTTGGAGACAAATTGCTTCTAATAGAAGGGATGCTGTGGTTAAAACTATTATTCTAGAGTCTACAGATGCTAAAAGAGACACCGAGAGTCTGCTAAGTTTAGAAAGAGAATATTAAGGCTTTGGAGCAAATGTGTACAACCATCCCGGATAATAAGCAACAATGTGATATTTTTCGTTCGTTATCCATCTTTTGTTTTTTAAAGGACATGTTAGTTTTTTTTTTTATAGTTTTATCTTTGTTTTTTTAATCGATATGCCATTGGTATATGTATGTAATGGACAAGCCATGTATGGACGTATTTAGTAATTTATTTTTTGGTAAAATATGTATGTAATGGACAAGTCATGGATGTATTTAATTTGGTAAAATAAATTACTTTTTATGGTTTTATTATAAGTGATTGGTGGTATTTAATTGTTAGTTTATTTCAAATTAGAAAAGTAGATAGGTATATTAATTATATTATCAATTCTATTTTATTTTTTTATTACAAAAGAATTTGTTATTTGCGACAAAACATAATGGTAGCAAAAGAGTAGATTATTTGTGACCAAATATAATGGTTGCAAAAGGGTAGGTTGTTTGTGGCCAAATATAGGGGTCGCAAAAGGGTAGATTATTTGTGACCAAATCTTATGGTCGCAAAAGGACAAGTCTATTTGCAAACAATTTAGTGGTCGCAAAAGGGTCCCTCATTTGTGACCAAATCTTATGGTCGCAAAAGCATTACCCTTTTTGCGACCAATTTAGTGGTCGCAAAAGGGTAGATCATTTGTGACCAAATCTTATGGCCGCAAATGGATTAGTCTATTTGCGACCAATTTAGTGGTCGCAAAAGGGTCACTCATTTGTGAACAAACCTTATGGTCGCCAAAGCATTACCCTATTTGCGACCAATTTAGTGGTCGCAAAAGGGTCATTCATTTGTGACCAAATCTCGTGGTCGAAAAAGGATTAACCTATTTGCGACCAATTTTGTGGTCGCAAAAGAGCATTTTATTAACGACCAAATACTATGGTTGCAAATGAATATGTTTTTTGCCATCATACATTATGGTCGTTGAAAGTCTTTTTGGTTGGTAATATAATTGGTCACAAAAAATGACTCATTAGCGACCAACTCATTTTTTAGTCGCGAAAGACTATCCGCGTCGCAGGTATTGTCGACCACGGGGCGACCAAAACATTTTGGTCGCTAAAGGTCATTTGCGACCAAAATGTGACCTTTTGCAACCAAATATTTGGTCGCAAAAAGGCATATCTGTTGTAGTGCATCCTTTCATTCTTAATGATAAAATGACTTTAACTTTCTATATTATTTTATGAATCATCATATTCAATTTTAAGATATTATATTTCTAATTGGGACACTCTCTGAAAAAATTGTGTTGGCTTGTTCATCATACGAATTATTTAGTGGTCATAACCTATCTTTAAATTTCTTGTTTCTCTTGACAGGTAATCTCTATCATACCTAAGAGAAATGTTGTTATAAAGACAAATTGCATCAAATAAATGGAATGTTGTGAAGGAAATTATTGTTCTAGGGAGTCTAAAAATGCCTAAAGGGAGACTAAGTATGGAAAGTCGAAAAGAAAAACTGTTAAGGCTTTGGAGCAATACGAGTAAAGGACACAAATGTATAAAACTATCACGTATAAGCTTGACATAGCCTAATTCCCTGAGTAAAGCGATATCTTTAGTAGTTCGTTCATATTTTGTTTTCTTATGGACATGTTAGTTCTTTTATAGTTTATTAGTTGGTTTTTAATGAACACACTATTGGTAGATGTAATGGAAATGCCATACATGGATGTATTTAATAGTTTTTGTTTTTTCATAGACAAGCCATATGGATATATGTATACGGTGTGTAATTGATGTATTTTATTTGAAATAATTAATTGAATTATTTTTTTATTTTTTACTATATGTGATTAATGGTATTTAATTACTAGTGTATTTTAATTTAAAAAAATTAAAATATTGATAGATTTATTAATTATATTACCCGTCCAAAATTATTATTATTTTTTTTAACAAAAGAATTGGATATTTGCAACCAAATTTTATGCCACAAAAGTATTATCTATTTGTGACCAAATGCTATGGTTGCAAAAGGATATATTATTTGCGACTAAATTTAATGGTCACAAAAGGGCAGCTCATCTGCGACCAAAAGTAAGGGTCGTAAAAAGGTACCTCATTTGCGACCAAAAATAAGGGTCGCAAAAGGGTACCTCATCTGCGATCAAATAATGATCGCAAAAGGATACCTCATTTACGACCAAAAAAATGGTCACAAAAGGGTACCTCATCTGCGACCAAAAATAATGGTCGCAAAAGGATAACGAGACCAAAAATAATGGTCGCAAAAGGGAAGCTTATCTGCGACCAATATAATGGTCGTAAAAAGTGAGCTTATATGCGACCAAACATAATGGTAGCAAAAGGGTTCACTATTTGCGACCATATAATTTGTCGTTAAAATTCATTTCGGCTGATAATATAATGTTCGCAAAAAAGGGCTTATTAGCGACCAATTTATTTTTTGGTCGCTAAAAACTATCCGCGTCGCAGGTATCGTTGACCACGGGACGACCAAAACGTTTTGGTCGCTAAAGAGTATTTGAGACCAATTTTTGAGCTTTTGCAACCAAAAATTTGGTTGCAAAAAGCCTAATTTGTTGTGAGTTGGAATTTGCAAATTTTTTGCACGTAAGTAGGTAATACAATTGGATTTTTGTAGACGGATTTACATAGATAAATATTTGTTCATTTTATATTTTATTTTTGCATGTTAAAAACTGAAGGCGGGAAGTACTAGTAGCTCTTTCTTTAATGTTTTATATTTCATTTTTGCACTTTAAAAACTGAAGGAAAGTACTATTTGCTCATTCTTTAATTTCTCAATCATAATAAAATTTCGTATCTAGACAACACCATAGTGTCACTCAGGGGCGGACACAGGGGTAGGCAAAGGTGGGCTGTAGCCCACCCCCAAATTTTTTTTTTTTTTACTATACTAATATATTAGCCTAGCTCAAAAAATAAAAAAAAATTAAATAGTATTAGCTCACCCCAAAAATTCAATGAAGTCCAAGTAAACTCAGCCATCATACTAAAATAAAGGCCCAAACCAATTTCTTAGTATTCATGTTTAATGTTAGCTCACCCCACCTAGAAATCCTGAATCCCCCCTTGGTCACTTGCTGCTATTTACCATATTTGTTTCATAATTCCTATAAAATGTCAGTTAGCCGAGCATACTTTGTCAAAATGTAAAACAAATGACTATGAATGAGCAAGGCCTGCATGCTAGTGGCATTCAGGCCTCATTGTTGCAACAATCATTTTATTAACTTGATTGTTGCCAGCAACTTTTGCAGAAAGGATGTTGATAAAATGAATTGTTTTGTTTTGAGACGAAGGTTAAAAAAAAAAGCTAGTATTTTTAATATCATTTTGGATAGTACAAAATTTTATATTTAATGAATTTAGTAGTGCAGATTATCTTTTTGAAATATAGGAGGAAACTAACAACGAAATTTAAATTGGCTTTGGTTTGGCTACCCGCATATCGCAACCGTTCGTTTTTTGGGAACCGGTCGCATGCGATGTTGCAAATTGGATTTGGTTACTGCCCAAAATGAAAGAACCGCTTGTGTGCGACGTTTCAAATTTGCTTTTGTTACAGTCAAAATGCAACCGGTTCCATTTGGGCAGCGAGTTCCATCACGTTGGGTTACTCAAGTGCAACCGGTTGCGTTCCCCTAAGAAGTTACGGAAATTTTTTTTTGACTCTACAAATGGCTAGTCTTGTGGGGAAAGTGGAGTTCTGTTGTTTAGGACTATTTACCTTAATAAGATTTTAGGGTAGTTTGTGCCAATACAAGAGAGGGCAATTGAGAGAGATTGAGAGGAAGATTCTCCATTGTAATCCTTCATTCTTTTTGCGTAGTGAAATTTTTCGGTTTTGGAGGAACCATGTATATATATATTTTTTGTGGCTACTTGTGATTATTCTTCGAACATCGTTGTTTTTTTTGAGTTTTCCCCATAACATGATGATCAAATTGGAAGCAGTGTACTTACCCAAAAAAGAAAAAAAAAAAAAAAGGAAGCAGTGTCCTGAGTTGTAGGTTTTCTGTCTAACAGATGACATTCCTATATTTTTCTTCGTGTTCAAACATTTACTAATATACATGCAAACTTCTAATTCTGAAATAATGGTATGCTATTGTGATATAATTAATCTAATTCATTGCATCGACATTTTTGTTTTAAACTTTGGATTGTGAATACTGTGAATGACAAACTTGTTTAATGTACTAGAAGAGTCTCATCCAGGTTGGGTAACTGATGATAGAATACTGCATTATTGATGAGAATGACATTGCCAAAACAGCATAAAGATGCAAGAATCCACATATCCCACCATATCATGATGAGCAAGGTCCAGCTGAATCTTCCTAAGAATCCATATATCCCACCATATCATGAGAAAGGTCCAGCTGAATCTTCCGACGTACATGATCAGATTACGGATATTATATTCTAGCTGTTCTTCCTTACAGCCTGGAAAAATTCTACAGTACTATCTTTATTCACCCACCAATGAGATCCCGATCACCATTTAAGTAGTACTCTTGATTTAATCCTAATTAGGAAGACCACATAGTTAAATTCATTTTCTATACCAAAGTGATCTGAGATGTAAAATATATATATATAAAACTAGTTCCAAAATTTTTTACTTAGGAAACAGATGCTTAAAAATGTAGGTTAAATTAATCTCAGGACAAAAGTCATATTCATCAGAATGCTAGCCCCCCCAATATATGTATTTCTGCTTAGCCCCTTTCTTTCTTTCCAAACTTTTTGTGTACTCAAGATATATCACCACCTTTTTTCTCATATATTCCATAAACAACTTTTTATATATGGCACTGATATGAATTTGTAGGCCAGTTCTGTTGGTGGGTTTTTCTTTTTCGTTCAAAATTCCTTGGCCCTAGCTAAACAAGTTAAAAACCAGTGAACCAATTGAGTCGTCGAATATATCTGAAACATTAAGATAGACATCTACTCAGAGACCATTCAGAGGCCAAGGAAGCAAAACTCCAACTTGTAAGGAAGGACCACAAAGAATAAACAAGATCTTCAAAGCTTGTGAAAAGGAAACCATGGAGATCCCCTTATGGAAATGAACAAGGATGATAAGGAATCGGAATCTCGGTAACATGATGTCTAGCTCAAGGTATCACAACTTTCAAAAAATGATCACAGTATGTCCATCAGTGGACATGTGAATCATATTATGAGACAATGACTAGGGAACAAAAATAGCTTAATTTCCCAACTTTAATTTTTTCTTTTTGGAAAATCAAGGATATAGTTTAAATTAGCCACATTTAATTTCATGGATGTAATATATCATTCCCCACTTAACCATACTAATCCAAAGCTTTTGCTATTATAGAATTGCATGGAACATGCACACATTTTTTTTTTCTGTTCTCCAGATAAAGTTTAGAGAATCTCTTCAATCTGTACACTAATATATACATGCATCTTCTGCTCATTCCCATATAAAGATCATTATTGCACTTCTTTCTGTAAGTATAATACATCATTTGTTGACTTTGCTCTCGGAAAAAGGCCTGGGGTACCATAGCATAGAGCAGGTATTCAGTGTGCTCGGTGCATGCACCGAGTACATCACAGCCATCCATGTTGTACACATGCAGGGGTATGGACGATTGTGATGGTCCGGTGCACATCCGTGTTGTGCACGTGAAGCGCAACTATGAACAGTTGTGATGGCCTGGTGCACGATGCACCAGGCACATTGAATATCTACTCGTACCCCCGGGTCCTCCCACCGTTGAATGTGGTAAGTAGTGGGGCTTACATGATCTAATCGCACCGGAGCTACCCCGGGTATTTTAGAACTTCATTTTCTTTTGTTGACTTTGCTCTTTCTCAGTTGTTATGATCATACTGAACCTATCTATCACTGAATAATTTTTTGAGACACAAATCTATTACATGATCATTAGGAGGCCAAGAGTGAGACAGCTCCAACTTGCAAAGAGGGCCGCAAAGAAGAGAAAAAGCTTGTGAATAAGAAAGGATAGGATTCCACAAAGATGAATCTCTACTGTGCATGGACGTGGATGATAAGGATTCCAAATAAAGTCATTTATGTACTTCATTCATTTCCAGGGATCTTTTTCTAATGAAAAAGCTTACTAACTTTTTTTTCGAAATCTAAAAGCTTACTAACTTGCATCCGTGTAACCTATTGCATTTGGTTGATACCATAAACAATGATTCCATCATTTTTTTATTTTTATTTTTTAAAAAGGCCCCTTTTTCGGTTTCCTGACGTGTGACAGTCTCATAAACTACTGACACAAGAAAATGAGAATTTATTTGGTTCAATTTTCTAAAAATAATTATATATGTAGATATAACATAGGCCAACCTAATGCCTACAAAAACATCTATTTGACACATTATCTTATCAATAATATTAGATGAGAGGAAAGTATAATTTATGCGGAGTTGCAAATCCCACGAGGAGGTGCCTAGTTGAAGGCACTGACCCAATGTACAGTCAGTGGAGGCAATTGTCTCCACTAATTTATTTATTTATTACTTTATTACTTACGTGTAATTTTACTTTATTTTATAAAATTATATACTTATAAAATTTTAATGTTGCCCTTCTGGAATAAAATAAATAAATAAAATCAACTTTTACCCTCCTCACACATTATTCAATAACTGTAATGCTAGGAGATCCTCTACTTATCCAAGAGGATAGATGAGTCGCTCGTAGTATTCATTTATCTGGATCAATAAAACATTGTCCTTTTTTTTTTTTTCATTAAAAGAGTACTTTCGGAGGCCCCAAAAATTGTTAAAGATATCTACCGGTAACAAATAAAATAGATGTATGGTCCACTAGGGTCAACTGCATGAACTTACTTGTGCTATTAATAGCCATTATTTTAGTTGAGAGTCTAATTAAAAAAATAATTAATTAGAATCAAATAAAGCTATCCTCTAGAACAAGATATAAACAACCTGGCCAATTCATGCATGAATTGGATAACATCACAAAAGGTACAGAAATCAATTGTGACAAGAGATATCCAGGTATTTTTTTATTATTTATTTATTTATTATTATTATTATTTTTTACGAGTAATTACTTGATCATGAATTCTCCTTTTTTAAATCTTGCATTGAAATATGCATTAAATAATTTATTTGACTATTCACAGATTTAAAAAAATTATTTCAATTCAATAAATTAAATAGAAAAAGCTCATGCCTCTTCTAATGAGAGAGTTCTCTCAAGAGCATTACTTATCTTTTATATCTTTGTTTTCGTCACTTCTCTAACTTAATTTGAGAAATTATTACAGCCAGTTACACAGACACATAAATAAAACCTGACACATTTGCTTATATGTCAACATGTGATTGTCCCATTTCTCAAGTTCATAATGATGTAATTTGGGAGCCGACATGCAATGTCATTGGTATGCAATGTTAATGAAAAATTTACCACACCTCCACTCTACCGTGAAATAAGTCCCATCATTTAATTAAAGAAACGACTCCCCAATCTGGTTTGTTAGATTTTTATGAATTGACCATACCAATAACGTGGCATGCCCGACTCACCTTACAACTAATAAAAAAAGAGGGGCTAACCGTATAGATATTATCGAATTCATGCATGCATGGCATTTGTTACTAAGCTCGACTAGTGTAGATTGTATGTATGTGTACAGTACTCCTCTACTACCCATAGTTTTCTATAACAGTCGCTTAGTACCACGTTTTTATACCACAATTTAATTGTTAGATTTATTGGCAAAAGACATATAATTACCACATCACTAAGAGAATTATCAGCTAGAGACAGAGAAACGCTATCCACAAGCGTGATTAACGTGACTGTGGAGTCCAGTAATTACATCCGGTGAGCTCCATTGTTAGATTTACTTGATCTAATGGCTCAGAGCCTACAATGACAAACAGTGGGTGTTAGTCACCAAATGCAACAAAAGAGACAATCAATTTGTTTATATATGCACTTTGATATATATATATATATCAAAATACACAGATAGAAAATGTACTTGCCAAAAAAGATAGAAAATGTAGTATTGTATATCTTATCACGAGTAAAGGGTATTTTAATATTTTCACACTTATTATGCAATTCTAATTCTAAAAAAATATAATAAAACTAGTTATTAAACATCCACAACAATCTATAATTGGTTAATTTGCTCTTTTATCATATTAGAATCCTTAAAGGTAATTTTAGTTTAATTGATTTACCCGTGTTTTGTTTATGTTATTTTTGTTTGTTTTTAATTATTTATTTTTTTCAATCGAACACAAGAAAAAAAACATAACTATCACGAGAATTCTCTCATGACAAACATGCATCTCATGTATAAGGTGTGACGCGTGAATGTATTTGATGACAGATTTATTAATATTTATAATTTTATATAGGTGGACCAGATTGAGTTATATATATATATATATATATATATATATATTAGGGTGTTTATATAAATAAATAATTCTTTAGAAAAAAAATAAAAAATAAAAATAAAAATGTTATTTTGGCAACGCTATCCTAATTTAACCACTAAATTGTAATTTTTTTTTTTTATATTTATAATTATATCAATTCAATAATTAATACCTCATGCCTCTTATCAGCATTATTAAAAATAATACTAATAATCAATCAAAAATAAAATAAATATATAAATAGATGAGTACTTATTTTATATAGAATGGTTGTTGGTAGTATATGCTGAGTCATCAAAAGCATGTACGGACTTGTCCATGGCCAGCTAAAACTAATTTGGATTCCAGCTTTATTCAGAGGATGAATTATCACGTTTAAGAATTACTCCGTAAAAGATTAGCCTTCAATAAATAAGAAAAGTGCTAGCTTTTCATCTTTCCCATTCACACACAGTCACAACACACACAGAGACAGCTAATTAATTTAAAAAGTAGAGAGAGATTTGGTCCACGTTGTGCCCGTGAACTTTTCTAGCTAGCACAGCCGCTGTATTCACCGTCCGTTTCAATCTCTTTGGACCCCACATTGAGAAAGTAAAAAATTGGATAACTTTTCCTTGGATAAAGGGTAGCTTGTCTGTGGTATTATGTTTTCTTGTGGTTAAATCGTATCCGCAAATCCCATAATTTTACCGGGAAAGTGAAGTAAAAACGACGTAGTTCATTACCATTTCCGCCTGACTTCATTTTAAAGGAAAACAAACAGCCAGCGAGAAAAAGCACACCCACCGGCCCACAATATCCCACCACCCCCCTCCTCTCTCTTTCACTCTCTACCTTTCTCTCTCTGGCCACCCTTCGGTTTACTATAAGTAGAGAGGAGCCGTAGGACACTTCTTGTCATATACCACACAGTTTCAATATATCTTCTGATCTGATCTGCATTGTAGCGAAATGGGTTCGAGTTCAACATGGACTGCAAGGCAAAACAAGCTGTTTGAGAATGCACTGGCCATCTACGACAAGGACACACCGGACCGCTGGCAAAATCTGGCTAGGGCTGTGGGTGGGAATAAGACCGTGGAGGAAGTGAAGAAGCACTATGAGAAGCTTGAGGAGGACATCAAGCACATCGAGTCCGGGCGCGTGCCCTTACCCAATTATAAACCAATTGGGTCCGAAACAAACTCCTGGATGAGAAACGGAGGTACGATAATTATCATATTATGAATAGAGTCGGTTACATGAATTAAAAAAAAGAAAAAAAAAAATGTATGTTCTGAACATGTGTCTGTATCCTAATGCTCTACGCATTTGGTTAGCATTATATGTGTTTTTTTCCCTTTTCTGAAAGATATTATGTGTGTTTTTTGTGTACTTACTGGGTATTTGTTCTTTTGTTTTTTAATTCATTGCAGCCTGAAGTATGTAATGAAAGCTTGAAATTAGCAAGAATCAGAATGCATAGGGAAGGGAGAGAATCCAACGCATTACAACTAAAAAGCAAAATGCAGTATGTCAATCGCAGGAATCAAAACTTGGTTAAGGTGTTTTTTTTTTTTTTTTTTTTTTTTTTTTTTTTTTTTTGGGTGTTGTTTTTTTTTAGTGGTTCTATATCAATTTACTAAAGGAGAGTCAACAGCGACTCACAATATGCTCAAGTTCTCATGTTGCAGTGGAATAAATATATATATTCTGCTTTTGTGGATTGAATATCCTTAAACAGTCCAATCCCGAGACTGAAATGAAAGTACAAGCTAGTCCAATGAAATGGCCAAAAAAATAACGATACTAAAAACTTGTGGCACCGCTTATGGCAAAACAGTGTGACTGAACCGAAGGGTGAAGTGGCCTAGCGGGGCTCTTGCTCTTTAAAGAAAAAGAAAAAGAAAAAGAAAAAGAAAAAGAAAAGAAAAATTAAAAAAATAGTGTGACTGAAATTCATGAACCACTTTGAAATAGGCGGGAATATCTACAACTTTTACCTGCGAGGATGGTAATTTATTGGTTTTATCCCTTGTTTGGTTGAGAGAATATTAAAAATCACAAATTATTGTATTATAAAAATAATTCGGCTTATGATTTGGCAACTTATGTTCGGTTACATAAAATTAAAGTTTTAAAATTGAAATTGATGGAATTAGAGGAAAGGTTAGTTCAAAGTTACAGAAAATGAAGCAAAATTTTCTCCAATTTCATCAATTTCAATTTCAAGGCTTCAATTCCGTAGAGCATAATATTGTCTGAATATATGGTATGAAGGACACAAAAAAGAAAAGAAAAGATAATTATCATAAGGAAACGATATTCACACTCCTCTATTCTATTATTGCACTCCAATTTTGTAAAAAATGACATGTTTAACCCTAACTTTATAAATAAATAAGTATTTTTTCTCAAATACCAAAACTATCCTTTCACTCATGGTAAGATCATTTTGTCTCCTCCTCTCTCACCAATTAATCTTTTTGGTCTCAACAATTTTTTGTTAACACCTCTTTTTTAATTGCTTCCAATATCTCTAAACTCTTTCTCTACTTTGTATTTGATATTATTACCACAAGAAGCACTAAAAAACTATAAAAAATTCATGAGCGCGCCATTAAATTCTTTGGAGCTAATGGTGACGGTGAAATTTTTTTTATCTTTTCGCGTTGTATACTAAAAAGTCTTAACGGCTTTGACAATAAAATCACAAGAACAATGCTTTTGTGAAAAAGCAACACATCGAGAGAGAGGGAGAGAGAGAAATATGGACATTACATAAACTATGACATGGTGTGATTCATCTTAAAATATCTATAAAGAGCTGTTCAGAAATAAAGAGAGAGAGATTTGTATTGTTTAGTAAATATCATATCTTTGGAATTTTTGAAAAATTGGAGTGGAAGATATGGAAGAGAATACATCTAAAGTCCCCTCCACCATCCTCTTTGTTTTTTTCATTAATTGAAAAAGAGCTCCAAAATTGAAGAACAAATTGTTGTTTGTTTTTTTTATATTTTATATTTTCCTTGTAATCTATGTTATGCATAATGGATGTTTGATCTTTTGTAGATCTATTGTAGCCTTTGTATCAGATTGTTTTTAAAAATAAAATAACATAATAAGGTAAGAGAAGTAGTAGAGGATGTAGAAAAGTAATATTGTAATAATTTTAACTTAATAAATTCTCTTTTGCGGAGAAAAAAAAGGTAGCAGAGATAAGAAAAAGTTTATAGTGAAAATGGTAGATATGGTATTATAAAATATAGGATGGAGCATTAGTGAGCTTATTGACTTTCTTATCATACTTTATAGAAAAAAGAAAAAAGAAAAAAGAAAAAGAAAAGTGGAGTGGAATTGTAAAAAAGGAGAGTGTGAATATTGTCTCCTATATCATTAAATATTAAAGGTAATCACCATTATAGCATCCAAATCTCAACATAATTCATTAATTCAATTTGTGCTTGGTTTGATATCAACTTTCTCTTAAATATTCATTCTTAAAGAATTCAAATCCAAACAAAATTTATGAATTTAATTTCTGCTGGAATCTTCCTTTTAAATATCATTTCTCTTAAATCTTAGCATTTTATTTTTCATGATTTCTTTGACTTATGCTTTCAGGGTGACCTCCTTCTCATACGAATTTAATATGCATAGAGTAACAGGCACAATCTAATTATAATAACAGATTCCTAGGTGATTGGAAGTAAGTATAATATATATCAAAGTAAATAATATTTTTTATCTTTTAATCATCGCCACATCAGATATGGAATACGATACACATCTCGAATTAATTTCAAGATCGATGTGTAACACTGCTCGATAATATGATTAGTTTCAAATCAGGGAAAATGGATCATTCCTATAAACTAAGAGGGAGAGGGGGTGAATTGGTTTGTCTATTTATTTTTCTTTAAAAAGACTATCACATGCAGGTCCACTTCATTGTGTTTCAAGTGATTCTGGTATGCATAGTGCATTATATTGATCTACAAGGGTAGTATGGTCATTCTACATTCTTGAGAAGACCATTCAAATGGCCTAAGAGAGGTACATTGTGTTGACAGTTTTCACTATAGGCCAAGTAGGGTTTCAGGCCCTTGTTCAAAAGATGACATTTGGCTTTAGAGATATTCAGGGGCAATTGAGTCTTTTCACACCTGTATTCTATCATAATACAATTATTTAAGAGAGGGCGTACATTATATTGAATTGCTCAGAATCACACTTTGATCAAGTGTTCATAGCTGCAGCTAAAAGATTTTGTGGCTATTAACAAGTGTCCTTCACAATGGTATTATGGTCCATTCACAAAGGGAATTATTGATTATGTTGTGGCCAATGATTGGATGATGGTACTAAATATATTTTCTCATTGAGGTAGAAATTGTGCTTAATGGCTACTATATATACACTGTTATAGTGTATTTTAGGGTTTAAGCCCCTTTAAAAACCCTAAGTAAACTGAATAGTAACACACACTTGAGACACCTAAACAATGACCATTTCCTGAGCTTTGAGATTTATTTTGTGAGCTTATTTCATCTCAGAAATGAGTATTTAGTGTATGAGTGCTTAATGATGATGAGGATGCTTGGTTGCAACTGCTTTCTAATGCAAGAAGCCTTGGTTTGAGTAGTTAAATTTGGTTCCAGCCATTTCCAAAGCTGCACAAAGGTTGAGGCAAGTTTGGTTCACTATTTTACATTTGCAGAATGCTTATATGTGACATTTTATTGCTATATTTACATTCGATGTCTCAGACTTATGTTTTAGCTTGTTTTACTAGTTTAGCCTTTTGATTTAAGCTTATCATCACTATATCTTCCTGCGAGTTGCACTGTTATCATCTGAGCAAGATTCTATAGTTGAATCAAGGCTGTTGAAGTTGATATTTACACAAAACTAAGGTCAATATAGTTTTTGACCTTTTAAAACCCTAGCTTTTGAAGTTTTTACAGGATTAAGCATATATCATTGATGTGATTGTATATACATGTTTTTCTCATCATAATTATCATCTGAGCATGTTTGTATTGAAGATATAAGGCTATGGAATTTATCTCTTGGTCTTTGTTCATTCGAATTTCCAATTTTCCTTAGACCAATATTTCTGCAGAATGAAAACTAGGTGTTGTGTATTGCTACTTTGAACTGTGTACTTCATTCCTTTCACTTGTAAAAGCTAATGTAAGTTGTTATTCATTCTTTTCGTGTATTTGGTGAGCTGTGGAGCTTACAGGGTCCAAGCAGGGTTGCTTAGGACAGGGGGAGTGCTATTGAGCATCAAGTAGAGTTAGTGTATGTGTAAAGGCTGTGCAAACTAGTGTTTCATCTTGTACAATGATGTGTGCAGAGAGTGAGACAACTAAATATATAACTACTATGGATTAGTAGCATATATACCCCCTTAGGCATTTTCGGAAGAGTAAAAGGGAAAAACGGGTATTACAATACTAATTTTTGTCAGACGGGATATTTTTGCACAATGTGAAAAGATTAGGGTTGTTTTTTGCACACTTTTTCAAATAACGGTAAAAGTGAGAGTATATTTTAGGGGTGTTTTCTGCACTTGTCCCCTTTTGCCACTTTAAGCAGTAAATATTATAATGCAATAAAAAATTTAATTACAGATATATCTATTGCTATATCTTGTTTTTATAACTTTTAGAAGTCTACATTATAGTGTATAACCAATCTCAATTATAAATAGAGAGTTGGCGGTATATGTTTTCATCAAGTTTTATCATTCTTAAACTTGGCTAACACTTTAGTTTGTTTCTTGCAATTCCAGTTTTCATTTCAAGTGATAACACTACAATATAGTGCATATGTTGTGTACATGCAGATATAGAAGCAGGAAATTTTGTTTCAAAATACATCAGCTTTATGAATTATGCCGGAATCGATGGTAGGCAGGCCGTTGTTGTTCGTAGTGCAGGCAAAAATAACGTATACTACAGGTTTTCTTTCGAAAGATACCAGGACACTTTATACACGGAAGATGGTCGTAAGTTTTTCAACGAGTGCAACATCTCTAGAACAATCAACTTTAAATTTGGTGATGGAGCAACCATGTTTCAGAATTTCAATATATATGAAAAAAAATCCTAGCAGCAAAAGAAAACCAATTATTGTAACCACCAAGGGCGGAGCCAGAATTTCAATTCAGGGAGGGCGCAGTGTAAATAAAATAAAATAAAATAAATCAATGAAAATGACAATTATAAATTGTTCAAATAAAGGAGAAAAAAAAAGGGGTTAATTTCACCAACACCCCCTGAGGTTTGAACAAATCTCAAATGGAAAATATCTTTTGAAAATAAGTATCACTCATACCCCATATCAGTTTTCTGTCACTAACCATGTTAAAAAAGTGTGAAATGTTAAATATGCCCTCAGCTTAATAATGTTTTTTTAATAAAAAATAGGGTTTAATTCAGTTACACCCCCTGTGGTTTTTCCAATCTTCAAGGAAACCCCCCCTCCCCCCCCCCCCCCTTTTGAAAAAATTCAGTCAGACCCCCTAGTTTTTCTAACACACATTAGTCTCCCCCCTCAGTCAATGGTTAAAGCTGGTCATAGCCATTTTTTACCGGCATCTGCAAAAAATTAAGTTTTAATGCCCAGATTGCCCCTCAACGGTTATGTTTAGCTACAAACAATAACGGTTATGTTTGGCTTTAGCATATTGATAAGTGCTGAATATTACATATT